CGATGTTACTGTAACAATAAACAGCAAGAATCCAATGTTATTGTAACAATAAACAGCAAGAATCCAATGTTATTGTAACAATAAAAATCAGTGGAAGAAGTAGGTGTGTTGTAAATCTGTCCGGGTTTTCTTTTAACTACTCGATCTCTGTGGTCTCAATGACAACTTGTCTATTTTAAGAAAGAAATTTCGTAGATTATCCGGGAACATAAAATGTGGGTCTGTATATTATCCGGGAACATGAAATGTGGGTCTGTATATTATCCGGGAACATAAAATGTGGGCCTGTATATTATCCGGGAACATGAAATGTGGGCCTGTATATTATCCGGGAACATGAAATGTGGGCCTGTATATTACCCGGGAACATGAAATGTGGGCCTGTATATTATCCGGGAACATGAAATGTGGGTCTGTATATTATCCGGGAACGTAAAATATGGGTGTGAAAATTTTGTAAACAAATAACTATCAGATGTTTATTTAAATATTATGAATATTGAGTGATCCACGAGGCTCCTAAACATAAAACAATGATTCCTTATTTTACGGACAGAACGTTAGCGTGCCGGATCTGAGATTCCGTGGTTCGTGTTCCTTACTGATAAATATCGCTATACCCTGGAGCCGAACTATTCGGTCCAACATGAGTGAGCTCAAAAGTTGGCGGTGGGTGATGTTGACTAGCCACTTTCCCTCTAGTTTATCGTTTCAAAATTAGAGACTGCTAGTGAGGATAGTCCTCGTGTAGCTATGCGCAAAATTTAAGAAAAAGACAAACAAGTTCTTATGTTTCATTAGCTCGCCGGTCCGGAATGCCCTTCGGTTTCATTAGCTCGCCGGTCCAAAATGCCCTCGGTTTCATTAGCTCGCCGGTCCGAAATGCCCTCGGTTTCATTAGCTCATCAGAATTAGTGTGATTATTTGGTTTTCAGTAGAAATAAAGTAATCTCGTTCATCTTGCCTAATTAGCATTTTTTGGGGTAAAATATTTGAATAAAATGCTACTGTTCTTCTCACGTGCAAACTTACTTCAAATCTACTCGTTTGAATGCAAATGCTTAAAAATGCCCTAAAAATTATTTTTATTTTATGCATGTCAGGTATCCCCCCCTCCTCTCCGATGTCTCATGGGTAAGCCAATGGGTTTATAACGCTAAATATAGTGTTTCGATACACGCGGTGGGCAGAGCATAGAAAACTCATTGTGTAACTTTGCACTGAACAAATAGACAAGCACGTTAGGGTAAACGTACAAAAACTGATTCAAAGATAGTCATTGCAACAAATAGTTTGTTCAATCAGGGTAAAAATATTTTCTTTATTAAACTATATTCATTATTATAACACTTTCAACTCAGTCTAAGAATCCAATATATTTTGTGACTTAACATGGATTTTCTACACAGTCTTGTTTACAGAGTGAGAAAAACCTTGTAGCCATGTTGCTTCTTTGTTGGTTAAAATGACTAATATTATAATATTTGTACCCAGGGGATGCGTATTTTATGACATAATCTATATTGATTACCGACTGTGGATAGTTGGAAAACGCATTATAAATACTTCCGTAAAAAAAGGTTTCGAAATGGTATTGAAACCAGGAAAATCCATACGTCAGATCGAAAAAACAACTTCGTTTATTCAAGCTTTTAAGTACGTTTATGGTATACGTCTTTCCTTAGGTTAGGCATAGCTAGTGAAAATTGACATATAAAGAACTATTGGTGAACGAAATTCATTTCCATCATTTTTTATAATTATTCTTTTAGGGCACAGCTCCCCCCCCCCCTATTATTTTCCATAATAAGTTACTTCAGATGATAACCATAAAGCCAAGGGTTGGGCCCGAGCTTCAGTTTTCAAATATTTGATCATAGTGCGAGCCCTGAATCAATTTTTTGAGGCCGTCTATTGGGGAAGTTTGTTTTCAATAACAAACTGATTCCTAGGGTTATAATAATTAACTGGTGGTGAACTAAAATTGGTGTGATATTTATATTGTAAAAATTGGGTTGAGGGATCAAAAACACTTTGTTTTGAAGTATTAAATGTCTCCAAATTTAAAACTAGTATTGTATCTTAATAACGGAAATAGTTTTGATATCAATATTTTGAATAGTATTAACAAGTTTTTTTTTATCATTAACTTTGTATTTTCTAGAATGGAACGAAAAAAAAATATGAAATTTACTTTTATTTATAACGAATGTTGCCTATGTCTTATTTATAACGAATGTTGCCTGTGTTATATTCGATGTTGCCTATGTTATATTCTATGTTGCCTATGTCTTATTTATAACGAATGTTACCTATGTTATATTCGATGTTGCCTATGTTATATTTATTGCGCACACTAATTTTCATCACACAGAATATTAAAGCTCAAAACTTCACCAAAACATTATTAATAACAAAATAATTTTAAGAGAAAAAACAACACTAGCTATAGAAACTTTATAATAAATACATGTAGTAGAACAACATATTGATGCCCTCCAGTGGCACAGCGGAATGTCTGCGTTTCGATACCCGTAGTGGGCAGAGCACAGATAGCCTAATATGAAACTTTGTGCTTAATTACAAAGAAACGATATATTGACAAGTAATTTACTAAAATAATATAAAATTACTAAATTCAGTCATTGCATAAGTTTCACAACATAATTTAAAACCAATCACGTGGTCCCAGTGTAAGTTTCATTTTTAGAAATGCATGAAAACACTGTACAAGTGAATGTCTTCCTTTCTGTGAATGTAACGTT